GGATGCATGTCACGGAAGCGGCCAAGTTTATTTCATTCGTCTCAATTCAGAGTGTGTCGGCGACGACTATCGCAAGCCATTCCTGAACTCCTGTCGAAATATGCATCGAAAAAAAAGAAGCCCATTTTCAGCCCACCCAGTCCATATTTATTCTTCCGGAACTGTGTCGGCCGGCGTCAGTAACCTGTATAGTAGAGGGAGCGCACTGGTTATATTAACTTACTGTCGATCTCGCCACTCTCGATGTCGTCGCTGATATCCTTGGGGCTTCGTCCATCCACTTGGCAGCCTACGCTGTATGCTGTTCCTAGGATCTCCTTGACAGATCCTTTCAGGTTCTTGGAGAAGGACTTGAATCGCATTGTTCGGGCGATCTCGATGATGTCGTCGAGAGGTACGCTCTTGGAGTGCTTGATGTTCTTTTCCTTCTTCCTGTCACGGGGGGGCTCCTTCAATGCCTTGATGATGAGGGACGATGCTGTGGGGACGACGGAGACGGCGGCTTGACGGTTCTGGATTGTGAGCTTTACGGTGACTCGTAGGCCTTTCTATTAATCAAAACACTGTCAGCCTAGCACATTGACTTCGCGCCACATTAATCAAACACTTACCCAGTCGCCAGTCGCCTTGGCAATGTCTTCTCCGACCTTCTTGGGCGATAGACCAAGGGGACCAATCTTGGGGGCAAGTGCCGATGAGGCACCGACCTCTCCACCGGTCGCTCGAAGGTGGCTATAGAACTATCTGTCAGCCTCGAATTCGGAGCAATCGCAATTTCCTGTCCCTGGAGAAATTGAAATCGGATTGATGTTTTTTATCTGTATTTCAACGTACATGACCTTCACCTCATTAGGATCAATCTTGGGAGCTATATTCTATAAGTTAGCTTGCGCTGTAAAACTGAACGGGGGCGGATTCATTGACTTACGCATCTTCGCTCAAGTTTAAAGTCTCACGAGTTTGCCAATAAAAATCCTAGGGAGACTTTCTGCGTAAGATGTTGTGAGCCTCGTGAGCAGCGCTTGCAAACAGGAGGGTGGAAGTTGAGAAAGTGGTCTTGAGGAAATTCAGTTGTGGGCTAGAGAAGCCCTAGACAGTGGGGTTTGTATTTCGTACCCGCGACAAGCTAGACCACGCAGCAGCCCTAGGAAAGTGAGAGGAAATAATAGGTGGGGCCAGGTGAGCAAATTGAGAATTGATTGGGCTAAAAGATAAGGTGTAGCATGCACCTTCGCTTCGTGGATTCAACCTTAATTAGTTAACTCCGAAAAAAAGATTTCGATTACATAAGGATAAAATGTATTTGCTACCTTGTTTTGTAGACGTAGGTAATAGAAGTCTCGCATCGCATTAAACCGATACGGGGAAGACCATGTAATCGCCTACCCGGGTACCAACGAGGTGGAAGCTTTAAAGACAGGAAGGGTTAAGAGAAAAATGACACATACTGTACATATCAACGAGGAGATACGGTTTATTGACGCATGAACTGACTGCTGTCTACAATAATACTGAGTACATGAGTCGCTCCGAGCCAACTTCGGTATTTTTTTTTAAGAATTAGTATACTATAATGCTAACACTTAAGACAAGCGAGCTCGTGAAACTCATCATGGACGGAGTTTGGAGAAACAATCATGACGGAGCAGCTGTTAGGCCCAATAAGCTATGTAGCACAAGCATCATAAACTCCTCGTCTAAGGGGTTGGGTTTTACTACACAATTAATTCGTCCCGCTCACAGCCAACCTGTTATATTGTTAGTCTTGAAAGTTGATTTGGGAGTACTGGATTACTAACTTCATCAAATGATCCATGAAGGTTTGCAGCGATACATCATCAGTGAAGATTGTCTGCGCAGTCTGTGCACCAACACCGCCGTATGCCCCTGTGGTGTGTGTCGTCGATGGGTTAAGCTTTGACAGTAAAAATCGCGCTTGAGAGCCACCAGCATCGCATACAATAAACCGAGGAAGCGGGAAACGGTCTGCAATAAGGTCCTGTTCAAGGAATTAATATTAACATCATGCTCCATCGGAATAATCATCTTCGCACTTACTCTTGCATCTTCTTTTGGTTGTTCCAGAAGTGTAGCGAAATTCTCATAACCTTCTTGGTCTTGATACCCCGCTTTCTTCCATTCTGCAATAGTTTCTCCGTGAAAGATGAGGATGTGGAAGAACGTATCCAGCAATAAAATATGTGTAGGCTGGATAGAAGTCGAGTCTAACAAGACAGGCTGTCCTCCATCCTGGTCGAAGGTATACGAATCGAGAGTTGGTTGTATCATGATGAGAGAATTGCTCACATCTTCGTGATTCAGCACGTGGCGATAAAAGGCTGTCTCGTCGGGGGAGTTGTTGAAGACCTGTAGGAACTGGCTTCGCCGGAGGTGAAACATAAACTGAGGGTAGAGAGTGAAGTTCTTCTCCAACCTAAACGAGGAAGGGTCGTCTTTCCTGTAGTCGGCAAAACGTGAGCATAACCGAATAAGCATCCGGTCCACCCATCGGAGAACATCGGGACCGTCATCAACCTCTGCCTTGAAAACGGCAATTCTCGACATAAGTACCGCGGCCGCTTCTTGGTCGAAGGATTGTGCGATAGCGGGATCTCCGGCTGGGCCGCTCAAGTTCCTGGCAATAGTAGTTACGCGTAGGTGAAACTGCCCAGAAGAATGCTGGTAATACGTCAAGAACTGCATCATACCCTTCTGCTGGCCCTGCTGGTGTTGTGTTGGGCCGCCTTGGCTTGCAATTTCGAAGTAGACGCCGTAACTAGCATTGGGATCAATGCCACACATCTTCCACGAGCACGTGTTGCCAATACCACACTCGGTCTCTCCAACCGAAGTTGACTTCTTGTTCAATGACACGGCGTGTCCAATCAAGCCGGTAACCTTCAACTCCTTAGTCGTCAAAACTTCGAGAACAGCATTAAAGCCCATTAATAAATTATCATCCCCATCCTTCTCGAAGACCCGAATAAACGACTGCTTAAACATAGATGATGTGAAGCTATCAGTGAGGATCATATGACCGCCTGTCGAGTTACACAAGCCTTTCATCTCAAGCAATCCTACTTGATCTAAGCAGCCGGCGAATATGTCTATTATGTGACCATTGTGAGCAGTCCGCTTCGCAAGATTGTCGTAGAACTAAAGGGGTTAGCCACCAAGCAAGCCCGAATGTATACAAATGAGAATAACACCAACCTTAAGTGCTTTCTTATAATATTTGATATTGTCACGATCAATATCGTGGTGTGAGCGAATTGGTTCTCTCAATTCGGGGCCAACGACCATTCCTGGGCCTTCAGTCGCAGGACCGCCGGCGAAGAGCATAATCCTACCACCAGCGTTTTGGAATGAAGACTCGAGCAGGCCAACAGCAACGCTAAGCGCAACACCAGAACATCGAAGATTTCTCCTATCACTAGCGACAGGCCAAGGATCCTTCTGCAATTGTTCGAGGATCTTAGTAAGTTGAAACTCACACTGCTGAACTGGTAACAAAAATCTAGTGGCTGGCCCCATGGGCAACATAGGTCGACCAGGCTGCTGCTGTGGCATGCCAGGGCGGAGACTCGGAGCAAGCAGACCTAACATCTCCTGAACTTGTTTGGCAGAATAATCTTTGCTACCACGAAAGACGTATGACTTGGCGCACTCGGTATACCCGATCTCGTGAACTTGGGCCTGGGAACTCGGGTGTCAGCAATAAAAATTGCCCCAATATTAGGGATGAGATAGGCGCACCATTGTTCCATAAGTAATCAGGCCAACCAAGGCGTTCTCGGGGAGGAGGCTCAAACTCATGATGAGCGACTCCTTCAAAGCCGACAGACTATCATCCTCTTGACACGTATCGACAACATAGAGGAAAATAGGCGGGCTGGGTGCTGGTCGTGAGAGCCGATACTCGATCGTTGTGTTCGATGGGTGCAGCTCGGGGGGGATGGCGTTGGGCGTGATGTCCTTGTAATGAGGAGGAAGAGGGTTCCTCGAAAGGCAGAATGGGCAGATCCAAAGACGTGCCCTAACGTCGACTTGACTGGGTACCATTAGCTATGCGACTCGAAACCATGGCGGGATTTCGAGGAACACTGACCAGAAGGGGTTCAAGACAGAGCGACAGGGTTGTTTACACGTCACGGGCTCGAATTGTAGTAAGGGTGTATCTGGCTTCTCTTTCAGGGGAGTGTAGAGAGCACCGATGGGGACGACGAGGCGAGATGCTTCCTATGCAAAACTTCAGAACACATGCGCTCACGAAAATGCAGCCAAAACAGCTGGAGGGCCAAGTTACCATTCGAGAGCTGGGAAAAACATTCCAACTCAGTCGGACACCGTCACGATCTTCCACCTCGCTCCATTGTTCTTTTAAAGCTTCGTAATCCATACCGTCGGTGCGCTCGCGATAGCCCGCTAAGCTCGTTGGACGTCGAGTATCAATACACCTACAGCAATTGCTGATGGTGGAATGTCTGTTTGTGTGATGTCCTAAGTGCAGCGCAATGCAGTTTGCAAAGCCAAGGCGGGCTTCGAGATTGAGAGGGAATTTCCTTCACTAGGGTCGCGGTGTGTGTTCGGTGTGCGGTATCAATGATATTTCTATGTAGTATGAATCAAGTATTGTCAACCGTAAAGCTTAAGGACAGACTGGCGCTGTGGGGTAGGAGCCATAAGTACCTACCTAACCTACCTACCAGCCTACCTGGTACTTTCGATATGGACAAGTTGCATCCCAGAACCCAAGGGGGAAAAAAGCATGGGTACTACCTAATCCCTGTAAGATCAACATACTGTTTTTTAGAATGTTACCTTTTAAATGCATCCTCGTGTTATCACCGCCGTAAAAATCCAAGTACAATGTACCTTGAATACTTCCTTCCATACATACATCTTATGAGCCGAGGATGATTATCTAATATATCTAATATACATTATACATATGACTTAGCTAGTTAGCTAAGTACACCGTAAATAGAATCTACCTATATCCCAATCAGTACAAGCCGATGCGCGTCTGGGATCCTGTAGGAAGTTCCGAGACGACTTAGCTGCTTAGTTATTTCCACCTTCCGCTCTTTGATGATATTCCAAACTTTGTTGGCTCCGTCGAAGGACGATGCCACCTCTGCTATTTATTTATTAAGGGACGGCCTCCTCCAAACCTGCACCAAGTGTCCAAGTCCTTCATTTTTTGCCTACAAACAAGTGTAGGTTTCGTGTTGTCAGTGGATCGTGAATCTCATAATCGAGATGACCACGTGTGGGATTTAATTGGCATAACCGGCTCCCTCCGAACCTAACTCATGAAGGTGAACGCGCCTACTATGTTGGTGGATCGAGAATTGAAGATTTCAATGTTATCTCGCTCCCGATCAACTTCGAGCATGTTCCAAACTGTTGATAGCTCACCAAGGAATGAGCCGAAAGCAAAGCCACAGGGGCATCCGCTCTCATATATTCCCCGCCATCTACTTTCGGGGGAAACGGCGCAGCATGGTCACTCTTCTCGACTAAGATCGCATTCTTCACCCAGCGCGCCTCTACGACAAGCGCCTGGCTGTCAATCTGAGCGATCAGAGACAGCCTCGTCAAGAATAGCTGGGACACATCCACTTACGATGGGCCATGAAACCTTGCCTGGCGCGAAGCGGCGTTTAGAGATCAATACGAAGGATCTCACTCGGCCCAGCTTAGCAGCCTCGCAAGATCAGTTGCTGCCCGAATCGCCAGGATTTCCCAATATGTTAGCAGCGATGAACTTCCCCATCCCGCCTACAACCTCAAGACCGTCTACCGCAGATGCATGTGTTGGCTCTATGGCACGCTATCAGTCGAGTATTACCTCTCCCCCGATGGTACGACCTCGTTCGTCGAGTAAGCGCGCAACGAGCTCCAACGGAGTACTTACGGCTTCACTAGATGGGCTAATAATACAGCGCACGGCACTGCCCCATCGACGTAGTGACCCCGGTGAAATTTCTCACGTCTCTTCTAAACCAGATAGACTTGTGATAAATACCACCGTGACTAGAAGCTCAAGGTCAGCAACCTTAGGCGAAACGGGCAGGTCGCTAGCAATGGGTCGCCTTAGACCCAGGGCTTCCTCAGCTGCATCTTCCACGCGAGTGGGTCACGATTCACACACTGTCGCGGCGAATGAAGATGGGAGGCAATTCCTCAGAAACAATATAAAGGCAGTGTCGAGCTTACCTCACGGGTTACTTAGCACGAATGAACCATATAATCTCCCAATAGGGATTGCGATCAGCAGCCCCAGAGATCTTATGCCTAATGTAGATAAACCATTCTCAACGTCAGAAAGAGCAATAAGTCAACATCCTACTCATACGGTTCCAACTATCAGTCTTACTTTACCCTCACCGTACGAAGAGAAGGATCCAGACAAACGAAATCTGACACCGAAATGCTTCCAACAAGGCTCAAATAAGACTGTTCCGAGCAAGCCAACATCAACCTCTACCTGCTATGATGCAACTATCTTTGACTCAACTATACCACCGATCCGCAATGCCGATAATTCGAAAGACTCTCCTATCCTCGGGCGGTTCCTCGGTAATTCTCCTACTACACCGAGGTTACCATCGAGGTCGCCATCCCGGACACGTGAGGATCAATCAGTCTCCAAAGAGAGCGGGGTGGCACAAACTACCCCCATAGGGACTATGGAAAGTGATTTGCCTCCATTAGCCACAGTGATTCCAGAAAACAACTGGAACCTTTCTCGTATCATGACAACGGAGATAGCCCCTGCTAATGATTTGATTATACCAATGACTACCAATGACATTACCATAACGCCAGTTATGGTCGTGGCTAATCTAAACCCTCAATCAGCACCGGCAGCATCAGTTCCATTTTCGCGCCCCCCATTCAATAAGCTGAAAATTATATCGCAACCGCGTCAGAAGCATATGCCAATAATGGTCCACAAGAGCGTTATAACCGGCCATAACGAGCACGCCAAATTAGCTATAGATAAATTCAACCGTCATACTTTAACAGGTGTGCTAACACCACCGACTTCGCCCAGCAGTGCCTCGCCCAAACGAAATAGTCACCCTACGGAAATCACGCGGCGAATCCAATCACGCGTAGCCGGGAAGCCGATGCTCAAGTCGGAAGCGGCAATATACCATGAGCCCGACCAAGAAAAGGTGAATGACAAAGCGTGGCGGGTTACAAGAACAAAGGAACGGTTAGAGAAGGCAAAGCTAGCCAGAGAAGAGGAGATATCCAGGTTAGTCGAGAAGATGCTCGGCGTTGCCAAGGCCAAAGATACAGAGGAGAGAGAAGATCCGCAGAGTTTGCATGAGGAGCATACGGAGGAACAAATCGAAAAACGATTACAGCGTCTTGAAGAGGATGGAGACGCTTGCCTTCGAGATGTCAAGTTAGCTTTGCAAAACATGTCCAAAACGCTTGATGAATTAAGAAAAGAAAAAGGCAGTAAGAGACTAATAATGAATGAGTTTAACCTGTAATATAAAAATAATATAATACAAAAGGCAACCCCGTTGGTTTGCACAATAGCCTCAAGTTTACGATTAAGCTAAACGATTGGTTAAATCCCGTAAAGCCGCTTAGCCTCGCCGCGTTAAGCGGTTACATAAGCCATATAACAAGATTTTTAATTATATAAAATTTACGAAAACGCATGCACTTGTAAGCTCGCGGAAGCGTTTTCACGTGCTTGTAAACTCGTATATAAAAATTTTTTAAAATTATGCTTTAAGTTTACGAAGGATTATTATTTTGCATTTTTTTTTTATAAAAGTTTAACCCGCTTTTCTTTTTTAATTAAATTAAATAAAAAAATAAAAATTATTAAAAATAAAAATGTTTTTATTAATTTTATATATATTAATTAAATATATTTTATAATAAAATAAATTTTTATTAAAATTTAATTAAATATATTTTAAAATAAAATAAATTTAATTAAAATTTTAATAAAAGTTATTAACGTAATATAATAAAATTAAACTTTTATAATTTTTAATTATAATAATATTAATAAAAAGTTAATAAAACAATTTAATAAAATTAAATCGTAAAATTTAATTTATTTATAAAATAAATAAAAATATAATATGTTTTTATTTACGTAATAATATATAAAAAAAAATTATAAAATTAAAAATTTAAATTATAAATTTAATTTTAAAATTATATAATTAAAAAAAGTTATATATAATTAAAAAAAGTTATATATAATTAAAAAAATTATATATAATTAAAAAGTTTATTATATATTTTAACGTTATAAAAAAATAATAATAATTATATATATATTATTTATTAAATTAAATTATATTTATTTTATTTAATTTAATAAATAACTTTTAATTTTTACGTTTAAAAAATTAAATAATTTAAATATTTAAATAATAATATTATTATTTATAATTTAAACGTTTTAAATATTTAAAACGTTAAATTAAAATAAACCGTATTAATATAATTTTAATTAATAAACGGTTTTTACACTTTTTACATTTTTTACATTATTTTTAATTTAAATAGTTTTTTATATTAAATAATACGTATAAAATATTATTATATAATTTTAAATATATAAATTAAGTTATATTTTATAATTATAAATTTAAAGTAACATTAATTACGTAGTATGCTTATTACTGCATGCGTAATATACGCGGTACGTACCCGATAACTTAAAATCGCTTTCCGCATTTAATCTTTAATAACTTTACGAATATTACTTCGGATCTTATATAATTTATATTATAATTTATATAAGAAAATCAGTAAAATTACAGTTTAAGGTACATGTAATTCGGACCAATATTAACCCGGATACGGCTGAAAATATAAATTTTAATTATAATAATTATTTTAAAGCTTTTTTTAATAACTTTTATCTTTTATAATCTTAACACCTTTTAACCTTAATAACTTTATAAATATTGGTTCTATAAATTTAAGAAAAATGGTAAAATATAAATAATTAATTGTTTAAATTTATAACGAAAATCCCTGATTTTTAACTATTTATTTAATTGAAATGCGGTTATATTTATAAAATACGTTAATAAAAACCATTAAAAACATCATTTTATATATATAAATAAAGATATCTTTAATATTTTTACTAGTTTTAAGCCGAATCGCGTGTATTTTAAACCGTAATTTTCGTCATTTTTTAATTTAAATTATAATATAAATTATATAAGATTTAAATTAAGATTTATAAAGTTATTAAAGTATGTATAAAAAAAAAATAAATAATCTTCGGGTACGTATTACTTTATACCCCGTATATTACGCACTTAATAATAAACATATTACGTAATTAATATTGTTTTAAATTTATACGTATATTTATAATATATAATATATATTTTATAATTTATTTAAAAAATATGTAACTTTTTAATTAAATTAATTATAACTTATAACTTATAATTATAATTATAATTATTATTAATTAAAAAAAATTTATAAATGAATTTTTATATAAAAATGTATAAAAATATATTTTTTATTTTATATATATATATATATATATTTATTTTAAACGATATACGTACCGTTTATTAATAAAAGCCGTTTAAAATAAAAACGGTGTAAAAATATAAATAACGTAAAAAATGTAAAAAACGTACGAGTTATTATAAACCGTTTATTAATTAAATAATTTATAATATAAAAACGACGTATTAATTATATTATTTAAAAAATATTAATTAACTTTTAACATTAATGTATATAAATTTAATAAACTTTACGTTTTTTTTTAACATTTAAAAATAGTTTATATTTAAAAATATAATATATATTATATATATATAATTATTATTATTTTTTATTTAATGTTAAAATAACTTATATAATTACCCGTTAAATTATAAAAAATTATAAGTGTAAAACGCGTATAAAATTAATAATGTTAAATATATAATAAAAGTTTAATAAAAATATAATATATTTATTTTTATGTAAAATAAATTAATATATTATTATTTATTTAATTTATATTAAAATTAATATTATTTTTTAATAAATATATAATTTTATTTTATTATATTTTAAAATTATTTATTTAATTAAAAATTATATATATTTATTTTAAAGTTATTATAAATTTTTAAAATAATAATATATAAATAATAAAAATAATATTATTTATTTAATTAAAATCGATAATTTTTTTAAAATTTATTATAATTATATTATTTATTAAAACTTTTATAAAATTTTATATTAATATTATTAATTTAATTTTTTTAATTTTAAATTATTTAAATTTTTTAATTAATTAAATCTTTAATTTTTAATTATAAATAAACTTTAAAAAAATTTTTAAAAAAAACTTTAAAAAGAAAAACGTTATTATTTTTATATGATTTATAATTATTTTTTAATTTATTTAAAAAAACGTATAACGTTTTTTAAAATATTATTAAATAATAAAAATTTTATATATATATTATAAAAAATGTAAAAATAAAAGTTATAAATGGTATATTTAATAACGAAAGTTTTATTTATTATTATTAATTTAAATATAATTAATTAAAATAATAAAAAAATTATAATAATAATTATTATTAATAAAAATTAATTAAATATAAATGTTTATATAAAATTATAATTTTATATTATAAAAAAAATATTATTTAATTAATTATTATTAAAATAATATTTATAATTATAAATTACATTTTATTAAAATTAACATTAAATATTAATAATTTTAAAAAAAAATTATAATTTTAAAATAATTATATTATAATTATTAAAAATTAAGTTTTTAATTAATTATTAAATCGTATATTATTTATCGAAAAATAATTTTAAATTTAATAATTTAAAATTTTATATAAAATTTAAGTTTAAAGTTAATTTTAATAACTTTTTTAATTTAAATAAAAATAATAAATAATTATATATAAAAATTTATAACGAAAATATTATAATTATAATATAAAATATTTTAAATATTAAATAAAAACTTTATAATAAATTATAAAAAAAATTTATAAATATTTAATTATTAATAAAAAAGTTATAATAATATAAAAAAACTTACGATATTAATTATAAAATCGATAAAAATTTAATAATTAATTAAATAATACATATATTTTAAATTTTTAAATGATATATTAATTTATAATAATATAATTTTAAAGTTTTATTATTTAATAATATATATAAAATAATGTTAATATTTTTATTTTATTTTTTATATTAATTTATAAATTATAAATTAATCGATTTAATATATTATTATTAAATATTACAAGTATTACATCATTATATATTAACTTTTATATTATTTTTAATTTTATTTTAAATAAAGTTAAAGTTAATTTTACGTAGTAATTAAAATGTTTAAATAAATTACGTATATAATATAAAATTTAAAAACTTATTATTATTTTTAATAATTTTTTAAAGGTATTTAAAAAAATTATAAATTTAACGTTTATATTATTATTATAATAATTATATATGTAATATATTATAAAAAATATTATTTATTATATTATAAAAAAATAAATTAAATTAATAATAATAATAAATGATTTATTATTTAAAGTTAATAAAAAACGTGTTATTAACGATAAAATTGTTTTAAATAATGATTAATTTAATTTAAATCTTTTTTTATATAAAAAACTTATTAATAATAAAGTTAAAAAAGTTATTAAAAGTTTTAAAAACTTTAAAAAAGTTAAAAATAATTTAAAAACCAATGGAAATATCGTAAATATTAAAGTTAAAACTTAACTTTTATAATTTTAAAAATTAATTTTTAATATTAAAAAATAATTTAATATTTAAAAAAGTTTTATAAAAGTTTAAAAAGTTATTACTTATGTAAATATAAAAGAAATATTTTAAATTATATAAATTTTATTAAAAAAAATATTAACGTTAAATATGTAAATAATATGTTTTTTTTTATTTTTAACATTAAAAAATCTAATAATATTTAATAAATAATTAATTAATTATAAGTTTTATATATTAAAATAAAGTTTTTATTACTTTATTATTTTTTTATTTAAAAAAACGGTTGTATGTATAAATATATTTTTTCATTATTTTTTAAAATCTTTTATTTTTTCCTTTAATTTCCTTTAAAATATTTGTAATTTTTAAGCTTTATTTAAAGCAACACTAGTTGCGCAGTATGCCCATTGCTGCTTGCGCAGTATGCGGGGTATCCAAGGGGTACGTACCCGGCTTTTTCCCACCCCTTTTTAACGTTTACCTTAATAACTTTACAAATTCCCATCCGAATCATTAATAAATTATATCGTAATTTAGATAAGAAAATGACGAAAATTACGGTCCAAGGTGCACGTGATTCGGCCTCGAATTGGCTGAGATATTTGAACGGTAAAGATTTATATATATAAAATGACTTTTTTACTAGTTTATTTTAGCTTATTATATAGAAACAGCTGTATCTTTACGAAATAAATCGCTAAAAATCTCGGATTTGCTTTATAATATTGCTTATTTAGTTATTTAAATATTAAGACCTTTTCGAAATTTATCGG